TAAATATTTTCTCAAAGACTGTGACTTGTCAAATCTTTTTCTTACTAGTGATTTTAGTAAATTGAAGATTTTAATGACTACTTTAAGATTACAACATATTCTCCTTTTTTTTTTACTACAAGCTTCATAGTTTTAGCTTTGCATTGAACTCTGTGGTACATCTCAAATTATTTTCCTTTTTTATGGTGTAAGGTAGGGGTTGATGTTCATTTGTCCCCCATAGGGATTTATAGTTGTTTCAACACCATTTGTTGCAAAAATTTCTCTTTCCTCACCTCATTCCTTGGTATATTTTTAGAAATTCAGTTGACTGTGTAAGGGTGGGAATATTTCCATCGATCCCATTGGTAAACTTATTCTTATGCCAATACTGTCTTGATTATTGTCACTTGATAGTAAGTCTTGAAATCAGGCAGTGTAAGTCCTTTTGTTCTTTCTCATCGTGTTGGCTATTCTAAGTCCTTTGCATTTTCATAAACACTTCAGAATTAGCTTATCGGTGTCTATTAAAATCCCTACTGGAATTTTGGTTGAGATTGCTATGAATTTATAGATCAGTTTGAGTTCACTTGACAGCTTAATAGTATTGAGTCCTCTAATCCATTCCCATAGTGCATCTCTTCAAGTGTTTTAAGTTGTCCTGACTTTTTCTCTACAGTGTCTTGTAAAATTCACTGTAGAAGTCTAACATATCTTTAGTCTGAAAATTTGTTTAGTTCATCCTTGTTCTGGGATATTTTTGCTGCTAAGTTCTCTCAACACTTCAAAGACATAACTCTACTACTTCCGCCTCCCATTGTTACTAACTATTCTGTTGCCACTGTGAGAAGTAAGCCATTGGTCTAATTGGTTTCCCTGTTTTAAATGATCTGTGGTTTTTCTGGCTGCTTTTAAAAGCTGCTGTTTCTTTATGTTCCATAGATTTACGATGATGTGCTTAGATAAGGATTTTTTTTTTTTTTCTTTCTGCCTCCTTTTGTTGTTTTTGTTAAGTGCCATCGATTCTGACCTATAGCGACCCTGTATAGGGTTTCCAAGGAGAAGCTGGTGAGCTTGTCCTAAATGGATCTGAGGATTGATATTCTTCAACAGTACTGGATAAATTTCAACCATCATTTCTTTGACTCATTCCTCTTCCCGGTTTCCCTATTCATTCCTCCTGGAACGCCAATCAGACCTGGCAGACCTTCTCACTGGATTCACCATGTTTCTTTTTTCAGAGCTGCCATTTTATTGTCTCTCTAGGCTGTAATCTGAGAAACTTTCAGCATCCAGTTCTGTCATTTTCTCTTCAACTAAGATTAGTGAAACTATTTAATCCATATACTTAACATTTAATTGATGGAATTTCCATTTTCAGAAATCCAATTTGGCTCTTTTTCATAGCTGCTTGGTAGTTTTGGGATCTGATACAATTGTTTTTCTGCTGACCCTCACTCTGCTGCTACCTGGTGATTTTGAACAAAGACCTCATTTTCCAAGGAACTTTGTGAGAATTCTTTGAGACTCAGGTTAGCATTGTTTCTCTTGTGGGAGCACTGCCAGTCCCACACAGTTCATTTGAAATGTAGACTGTGTCATATGTGGTTACAAATTTCCAGGAGCATTTTTTTCCTTCTGAAGTTTCTTTTTTCACTTCCATTGAGGTTACAGACTTTTGTAGCCCCTTTTATGTTGGACTATGTTGCTCCATTTCCCCCTTAAAGACTGTAAGCTCCGTCTCCTGCACTCCATGTGACCATCCAGGCAGAAGTCCCAAGTCTCCACTTTGGCAGAAACGCTGAGGGAAAAGGCCGACTTGGGACTCGCTTTGTTCATGAGCTCCCTTCTTCCACTATCTTGACTTGTGAAGGTGCTTTTCGTACACAAGGCTCAGCATTGTTTGAAGATGTGTTGGAAATACTTTCGTTAGCATTTCCATTGTTTTCATTTATGAGGGCAGTTTAGAGTTTCTCATCTCTCCAATGCTGCCATTAGCAGAAGGTCCCAGTACATGAGTTTTAATTTTTATTTATATTGTCTATAAAATGTTTTCTACACTAACATCTGTCAATACATACTGGTGATTGTTGTGCCGTCGAGTCAGTTCAGACTCTTGCAACCCTGCATAGGGTTTCCAGAGAGCAGCTGGTGGATTTGAAGCACTGACCTTGTGGTTCAAACTGACCTTGCGGTCCAGTGCTTACAAATCCTTCAGACCAATGAAAGGTCCCACCAGCACCAGGATTGATTCACAGGGTAGCTCTAGTCACTTCTTCCAGATAGTCACCTGCTCATGATAGTAGCATGGACTCTTGGTGGTGCCGAGAGTTAAGCACTGGGTATCTAACTGAAAGGTTGGAGGTTCAAACCCACCAGCCACTTTGAGGGAGAAACCTGAAACTGTCTGCTCCCATAAAGGTTTATAGTCTGAGGTGCTGCGGAACAGTTCTGCTCTGTCCCACAGGGTCGTGAGTCACAGTCAGCTCAACAGCAGAGGGTTTGTGTGTGGGAGTGAGACGGTGAGAGTTAATAATACTGAATGAATGATGTCAAAGACAAACACTTCTTTGGTAGTGAATTTTGTTCCCTTGTAGGAATGGTCTGCCGAAAGCCTGCCGACCCTGTGGACTGGCCACCGCTTGTCCTGGGACTCCTCACTCTGCTGAAGCAGTTCCACTCCCGGTACACAGAGCAATTCCTGGCGCTGATTGGCCAGTTTATCCGCTCCACGATGGAGCAGTGTACAAGGTACCAGAGGCCCACAGGAATGAATGCACCTTAATGCTGTCAAATGTGCTTTCCTGAATGCCCCGTTCCTCCTCTCACCAGCTCCCTTGTTGAATGGGAAATGGCTGCTTACTCACCTTATAAAACAAGTCAGGGCTCCTCATCTGGAGCAATGACAGCTGCGTCATCCTTAGTCACCCTGCTAGGGGAACTCCGGGTGTGTTTGCAGCGGTTTTCCACTTAGGAGTCTCTAGATGTAACCAAGGGCAAGGGTGTGTGGTCCCAGCCCTCGGTAAGCCTGCATCTCTGGCTGGTCCCACAGGCCTCATGGGAGTTGAACATGACCGAGTGGCATCCTGGGTAGTGTCTGAGTTCTGGGTTGTGTAGTGAAGCAGACTTAGCACAATAACAAGCTTGTGAGCCTTTGATTCCTGCTCATTTTTAACCCCTTTCCAGCTGGCCTCCCTGCAGATTGTTAGAATATCATTGTTGAGACTTCTTTCTGTTCTTCTCAGCTCTCTTTGCTCCATTTTATGAATTGGTAACAAATCTGCTGTTTGAAGCAAGTCTGAACATATATGAAATAAAAATGTCCTGGTGTGTTTAACTATTCTTCCCATTCTAAAACAGTAAGCCACTGTGCCTTGAAAGGAGGGGCCCTGGTAGCACAGTGGTTAAAGCACTGCCAACCAAAAGGCTGGTGGTTTGAGCCCACCAGCCACTCTGCAGGAGAAAGATGTGGCAGTCTGCTTCTGTAAAGACAGACAGCCTTGGAACTCCAATGGGGCAGCTCCACCCTGAGCTCTAGGGTCACTAGGCATCAGAACCAGCAGCAGTGAGTGGGTCTGACCCCTTGAAGCAAACACGTGATTTTGGTCACACATGGCAAGGCTGACTATAGTTAAAAAGTGCAATCACCACAGTCCTTTCAAAATCAAAAAATCATTAGAGCAAGTTTTAAAAATCTAGCACCATGAAATTTTCTAATTATAAAATTGGAAACCGTTTTAAGCCCTCGACTCCTTTGGGCAGCAACAAGGCAGTGTGCGGGCTGCACAAGTGTACTGCTTTGCCCTTTGCAGCATTCCCAGCTCCCAGTACAGCGCTAGGCAGCCCAACTGTTGAGGGAGTGCTACCCGAGTGGGAAGGACCCCAGAGGGCAAGTGTTCCATGCTGTGCTGATTTGACCTCAAACATGTAGAACTCTGCCGGACACAGTCCCAGAAGCTGGGGATACAAAGATGAAGACATGGCCTAGGTAGGCCCTCAAGTTTACTCTAGATCAGAACCAGACACACAACCGAGAAATTAAGCAGCTTAGATGGAAGACTTGACTAGGAAAAAACATCCACCCAGAGCAGCCAGCGAGAGCTTTCTGGAGGAAGACCCCTAGCTAAAGCTTGAAAGCTGTCCCGGAGTTTGCTTTCAAATACGTACGCACAGATTAGCACAAGAGGCTGGAGTGGGAACCAGGAGTCAGTTATAGCTGAACATGAAGTTCTGAGAGAGACAGGAAGATAAATTAGACAAGACAGCAGGGGCCATATCCTGAAAGGGCAAGTAAACTGTGGTAAGCTTAGGTTTCATCCTATATGGCTTCAATTCCGAGATATGCAATGATAATGACTTGATGTGAATCAAGAGATCGTTCCATAAATCTGTTTCTTCTTTGATTTCACTTGGCAATCTTTATATTGATTATGTTGACTAAGGATATGTTATATACAATGCAGGTAACTAAGCTAGACTATTCTTTTGCAGCCAGAAGATACCTGAAATGCCTGCAGATGTTGTGGGTGCCCTGCTGTTCCTAGAGGACTATGTTCGATATACAAAGCTACCCAGGAGGGTAAGCAATAGTGAAGAACAGTATTAATGACATTTTTGTAAAAAGAGACTCAGGAGGAGGGAGGCCCAGTAGCTCAGTCTCTAAAATGGCCTTCTCTTCTCCCATGGAGGTACTTTGGGAAAAGACATAGTCACCTTACTTCAAAGGATATCTTAAGTTCTTTTCATTTCAGGGCCCCATAAATAGGAACTCCATAGAATTTTTATGATTTGTTTTGAATTACAACATTGTAAGTAATGTAACTCTTCTGTTTAATTTTTCTAGGTTGCTGAAGCACATGTGCCTAGTTTCATTTTTGATGAGTTCAGAACAATCCTATAACATTTTTTTTCTGCTTCTTCAATGAAAGGATTTCCCTTAAATCTGCCTGCCCACCAACACTAACGTGAATTTGAAAATGAAGATACTCAACTGCTCATATAACTGCATTTTCCCCCTTTATTATGGGAAACATGAGATGTTCTGAGTAAGATATATCTTACAGTTCTAGTTAATAATTAATATTGTTTAAATTGTGGTAGTATATGAAATTCGTATCATATAAATGCAAACCACATTTTTGTACTGCTTCTCATAAATGCTGAATGTAACTGTTATGTATAAATGCCTTTAGTTTTATGTTCAAAAGAGCTATTTGTGTAAATTCAAATTGTTAGCAAATGGTACTGCTGGTACCCAAAGCGGCCTTATTTTCTGCTTCTGTTTCAAAAACTCCGTAATATTTGCCTTGGAAAGTGAGGGGTGAATTTGATAGTAAGTGGGCTGGGCCAGGTGTAATGGCTGCACACTTGTAGACCAAGCATCTGAGGCTGGTTCCCACCCAGTACCTGGGCAGTTCCCAGTGTCTCTGGCTCTATGGCTCCCTCACTCCTAGCCTCTCCCTCCCTTTCCCTTCATCCAGGGCATCCCCCTGAGCCCTGCTCCAGATCCCCAGAACTATATTGTGAACCCTAAACTTTTCTTTCTCTTTCTTTTTTATAATAGCTTAGCCATAAACTTTTGCAGTCCCTAAAATTCCAAATCATTTTTGTGTGGAAATTCTTCTGAAAAGGGAATTACCATCCTACCATGGCAGTTGGGAAATTAACAAGTTGGATAAGAGCGAAAAAGATGTTTTGGGTTTTCTTTACGGTTCTCATGAAATTCACACAAAAATTCACTAAAAATGCAGAAAAGTTTACTCTTCATTTTATTTGCATGTCCCACAATGCCTCTTCCCAAACAGTGACTTCAAAGGAACCAGCAATCCCTCAGTGGTAGCACTCTCCATGGGAACAATCATTTCTTCCGAGTATCTAAGTGATTTTACCCTTTCATTTTTAAGTTGAAAATTAAAGGATCTATTTACATGTTTATATACAAATAACTTCAAAAACAAATTAATTCTAATCTTGATCCATGAGTTTACACTTTAAAAGTAGTTATGGTATATGCTATATACATCCACCACTTCCAAAAGTCTCTTAGGACTTGGTGAGGCCCACAGATTCATTCACAAGTGGCTCTCCTTTAAGATTAATGAACCAAATACTTCATTTCTGAGTAAATAAGAGGAAATATTACAGAACACGCTTTGTATAAAACAGCACCACTACTAAAGAAGGCTCGGGGCTTTGAGATCCAAGGTTCCGATTTAAAACAAAAATATACTGCATAGACTGTGACAGCAAAGAAGTGTCCAATTAGAACAAAAGGATTAGGAGACAATCTGTAATAAAAAAAAAAAAAAAAAAAAGAAGGAAAGTTAAAATTTGTGCATAAAGAGAAACCAGTTGCAAAGAATCTAATAGAAAAAGTAGTGGGGTGCATGCCTAACCAAAAGGCTGGAGGTTCACGTTTCCCCAGAGGAGCCTCAGAAGAAAGGCCTGGTGAATTCCTTCTGAGAGACCAGACACTGGAAATGCATAGAGCACACTGCTGCTCCGACCACATGGGATGGCTTCATAATCAGAATCAACTTGATGGCAACTGCTTTGGGTTTTTTTTTGGTTAATATCAGTAACCAAGCTGTTAAGTATCATCAATAAAGTCAACATAAGTTCAACATGTTGGAGAACTTTAAACACTTGTGTCTGCCAGCTAAGTTTGAGGGCAGTGACAAATATTATTATTTAACCAAGAAACTGAGATTGCACCTCTGCTTTCAGAGGAAGTAGTAACTCCTCTTATTCTACTTACAGCAGTTTCCTGGTTTGAGCAGGTTTCTTTCACTAATTTCAGGATGGCCTGGCCTATGGGAGTCTAGATTTTTCAAAAGGTTAACAGTACTCACATTTAGCTTATAAATAAATGAAAGAAAGAAAAAAAAAAAGTCACTTTGCAGACTTCCGAGAAATCATTCGATATGTCTGCAACATGGAAAATATTTACTAAGTTTCATGACACCCTGTGTTTATACCAAACTAATACTTAGATGCAAAGTTCTCAATTATCTGTGGCTACCTGGAGTCCTGGACCACATGGTCAGTTTGAACCGAAGGTTAGCCGGTTTGGATTCACCAGCTGCTCCTCGAAAACTCTATACAAGATGTCTGTGAGTTGGAACCAACTCTAGCACTTAATAACTACCACCACAAGTCCTAGTGTGGTGCTGTAGGATGAACACTGGACTGCTAAATGCAAGGTCAGTGATTCAAGCAGCTGTCTAAGCGACTCCTTGGGAACCCTACACAGAGCCAGCTCAATGGCATTTAACAACACAGCTTCTAATCAGTGCTGTTTCCCAGAAGTAACACACAGAACTCAAGGCTGCATTTATTCATTTCTAAGGAACACCTTGGGAACGATAAACTCATGAATAAAATGCTCATAAGTGTAAGGAAGAAAGAGTGACAGTAAATCATACACTGCACTGTCCTCAGACACCCTGGAATCATCTTCCCTCAGTGTCATCACAACTTACACAGAAAGTAGCCCAACAGGCCCAGCCACACATTCTCCACCAAGTTTGAAATACAGAAAACAGGCTCTTCTTAGCTGATGGAGGGAATCTAAAATAAAAAGTAAAAAACACTCTCAACCAAAACAGCCATACATGTAAGTTAATGCATTAATGATGTGTCAGAGAAATTCCGGAGAAAGAAGAGGCTTATTGTTCCTGAAAAGATTTATACTTCAAACCCTTCTGAACCAATACCACAGCACTTAACCCCACCACACCATAGACTCAGGTCTGAGCTGTTTAAAAGCTATTTCTTTGATTATGTTGTAAATTCATTAGACAATGCAAAATACTTTGCAAGCATTTTTGTTGTGTAAACACAAAATATTCTCACAACAGTAAAATCAATAACCTTTTTAATAGTTCAGAATCAATGGTTTACCTAGATCTTTTTTACAACAGAATAAAAAAAGGTTCCATAAGCACACTGTAACTCAGAAAGCTCTTTCCTCCTCCAGTTTTCCATACACATTATTTTTTGTCAGATTCAGATTCCTAATGAAAGAACTCTGGACAGGCTGAGAAAAGCTCCACTTGAACTTCCATCCCAAGAGATTCTGTCTGACAAGCTACAAACACACATCAATACAGTGTGTGTTTCTATCCCTTTTAGTAAGTACAGTGGCCGCAGAGGCTACAGACAGCATCTGTACTGCACATCTCACTTTGTAAGCAAGCACATGACTAACGCACTGTTCACTAGAGCCTTGGTTGCAAATATACTGAAGTAATGCAATCTAAATTACAGTTATTCTTGAGAACCTACAATGAACTACAGTGCCGTGTTGGGAGGGGACACAGTTGCCTTTTTCTCCATTTCTAAAAATGTTGCGACTAAGTCATGTTTGCCTGAGCATTTTGGAAATACAGAAAGAACACCAAAAGCTCAGAAGTGTTTCAGATGAATAAAGGGTGGATACGTTCTGCTCCCTGTACAGGGGCGAAACTATAATTGGAAGCTCATTTGTTTTTGAAATACTACTTTGAAAAGAGACTGAAATGAGGTTCAAAAAGAAAGATGAACAATTGTGCTGCCTTTTCATACATGTCCAGAAGATCCTCCCATCATAATCTTGTGCATTTGGGAATATTCAGGATCTGGTTTGGCCCAGTAGAATTTAAAATGTGTACATATATTACTGAGCTATCGCAATGATGGTAACAGACTCTCCAGACAAAAGTCACAACTGGAAACTAAAACTCGTCCTACTCAAGGAGGGAGTTAAGATCTACCAAGTTGGGAGTTGGCAAACTCAGCAAAACCATAAACTTTTCTTGTGATTAAATTCTCTGCCTGTGCCAACAATCTGATATTTAATAGTGTTCATTAAAAATACTTATACCTACCATCTGTGGCAGAAAATAGTTCATAAAGAGCCTGAGCAAGGACATTCACAACAAATGAATGAGACTTTTTCCTTGCCCAATAGAATGATTTCTTGGCCTAAAAAAGAAAAAAAGATAACATAATATGGTAAGGGGAAAAAAAAGTATGAGCTGATATTTATAATCTGGTATTCATTCATAATCCCTGAAAACGGGTCTCATCCTGGGGCATTACTACAAGTAATAAAGTGATCATTTACCAAAAAAAGTCAGTCCCCTTCAGAGTGATGGCTTAGGTGACTGTGAAGCTCAGCACTACTACAATGAGCCAAGTGGTGCAAGAAGTCCAGTGTTACACAATATCCTAATAAAGAAATGCAGCAACTCTGGCCAATTCACAGGTTGCGAATCAGGTTTTTGAAGCTTGAACAGGATCTATTGAAAACCATTACTAAGCGTCAAGCTCCCAAGTACAGATCCCTCCATCAAAACTTCATTCCTTTCCCTCCAGAAAGAAAAACTAGCTGGAGACGTTCTGTCCAAGTGTGGTGTGCTAACTTACCTGGAGAACAGCTGTGTCATCACCGAGGTCAGGGATGCCCTTTAGCAGTGTCCGCCACAGTTTGATATCATTAAAAACAACAGTCATTCCTCCACCAGTAAGAGGATGCCTCATATTGTATGCATCTCCCAAAAGAAGAACGCCTAAAAAGAGAGAGAGTGAAAATTACAAAATCCTGACTTGGGAGAAAAAAGTGACTACTCTGTTTATGAAAATGATTGATGTGAGCTAGCAGGTAAAAACATTGTGGAAATACAAGGGGAAAAATTAATAAAATTTGTTGAGCCAAAAACTCAAGAGTTGATTTATTCTTTAAGTATTTATTAGGCACTAATCTGGCATGGAAGGAGCTCTGATAGCGTAGTGGTTACGAATCGGGCTGCGAACTGTAAGGTCAGCAGTTCGAAACTACCAGCTGCTCCGCAGGAGACAGATGAGGCTTTCTACTCCCATAAAGATTTACAGCCTCGGAAACCCTATTCAGGGTCGCTATGGGTCAGAACCAACTCAATGGCACTTAACAACAACAACAACAATCTGGAGTCCTGACTTGACGCTGTGGGTTAATGCACCAGACTGCAAAGCCGTTTGAACTACAAGGTCGGTGGTTCAAGTTCACCAGTCACTCCTTGGAAACTATGGGTCGGAAGCGACTCGATGGCACTTAACAACAACAACAATCTGGCATCATAGTGGTTATGAATCAGGCCACGAACCTCAGGGTCAGCAGTTTGAAACTGCCAGCTGTTCAACGGGAGAAAGATGAGGCTTTCTGCTCCCATTAAGATTTACAGCCTCAGCAACCTTGTACAAGGTTGCTATGAGTCGGAACCGACTCCACAGCACATAACAACAAATACATACTCAGGTATACAGTGAGAATAAGAGAATGGCTCCTGCCCTGATGAAATGCACATGTGAATCTAACAATAGGTCCTCTTTCAAAGTAAGTTATTGTTGCGTGCCATTGATGTCAGTTCCAACTCAGCAACCATGTACACGGTTTCTAAGAGCAGCTAGTGTGTTTGAATGGTCAACCTAGTGGTTAGCCATCCAGTGCTTATCCTACATCATCACACCAGTGCTCTTCAAAATAACATAGCCTAAGAACAAACAAGATGGCGGATAGGGTGGACGTATAGCAGAGAGCTCCGCCAACAACAACACAGAAT